TGAACGTTTCTCAGCCACGAAGCTCTAATTCAAACAAGAATTAATTCCAGGAGCTCTGAGGGCCTGCGTTAGACAGCAGCTTGGGCTAGATGATCACAATGTTCCCTTCTGCCTGATAATCTATGAAGAATGACAGAAAAGCTATTTTAGAAGCGGTCCACAGGCCTACGAAACTTTACTGATAATATATATTGTCTCCTTCTGCCTGTAAAGTCAGGCTGCCTCTTGAGTCCAGCTGTGCAGACCTCTCGGGGAGAGGGAAGTTCTAACTGCTATAATTTTAGAAACCTAAAAATAGCCTGAAACACCTCTTCCCTCCATAATAATACAGCATTTGCAAGGTCAGATGTTTTGGGATCCTATCAAGACTAGAAGCCAATACTGTGGGTACCCCAGGACATCGGGCACGAAACCACGCACTGATGCGGGTCTGAACATTGCTGGTCCTGCATCTTCTACCAGTACAGCACTGGGGGAGCTTTAAAGGGAGAGGGATTTTGTTCAGACGAAGGTGGCAACTGCCTGAAGCTGCTCACAGGGTTGGATACAACCGTTTTATGTGTAGGCAAGGGGCATTGCACCATATGGATGTCCAAACCGTATCACTGCCCTCACTACAAATGCCCATAAGGGATCTCCAAACCTTAGCACTGCCCTCACTACAAATGCCCATTTGGTGGCAGCTGGGTTGGTCTAAGGCAAGGTTCATAGGCAGGCAAGGTTTGTTGGGTAGATGTGATATCTTTTATGAGACCAACCAAGAAGTTGGAAAAAACAGTTCTTTGCAAGTTTTCGGGCATGATCATCCTTCCATAAGGGAATACATTATATATCATGCAGAGATGGCAGGTCTCTGTATCTGGAAAAGTATGCCCCCAAACTCAGCCCTGACACACACAGAGGTAGCAGTGGGAGGAAAAAGCCTTACTATTGCTAAGCTACAGAATTGGTGAGGAAATTTAGCTTTCCCTCGCCCCGCTGCTCCGAGATCACCCGTCTCGCACGCTCAACTATTCACTTCCAAGCCAGAGCAGCTTCTAAGGGAAACGCCTGGGCTAACACTCAGGAGGCGCAGAAGAGGATTAACACTCTTGGTGGCAGCTGTCCCTAATGCTTTGCCTTTTAAGACAGATCACACAAGTGTCGCTTATTTTTAGATGAAGATCCCCTCTGCCTGACAGAGACCTGATGTTCGCTCCACTGCTGATAGGAGCCAGCCTAAAATCGCTTGCATCAGATGCACAGAAACACGCAGCTAAGGTTAGGGGAAAAGTTAGCGACTTCAAAAGAAATAAATCCCAGAGGTTTCTAAGCTTGGTCCCTCTGATACAATTGACTGTGCTTTTCTTTTTGTGGCTTCGGAAGCTGCTGCTGCTAAGGCAGAGAACAAAGCTTCAGGAAAACAGGGCCCAGAAAACAAACAGTGCTTCTCCTTGCCAAGCTTTTTTGATCTCAAAGAAATATATAATCCCCAAATGCTTGCTGCTGGCAAACCTGACAGGATATTGGGCTGGTTCCTCGGCTGGTGTGCGCTGTTCCAGATGCTGCATTTTTATGCATGCTCAGGATCAGGCTTTCACAGCCCTGCCAAGCTGCAGAAAGTTTTGCTTTCTTTGTGAAGACATGAAAGAAAAAGTTATTTTCTCATCAGGCCACACGCATTTTGCATGGCAGCAACGATGTTCCTGCTCTGAAAGCACCAGCTGTCATTTGCCAGCGCTGGAAAAATTAAACTCAGCACTCAGGGCTGCTTTAAAAAACAGCGAGCAAGGGACAAGTAAGTGTTGGGTCAAATCAGCTCATTTTCTGGTGTGAATAGTCTGCTGCCCATGGATTCATTTATTATGCAAAATGTTTCTGAGGGTTTCCATGCAAGCACTTTTCACCCTGTGGATATATTTCAGAAGTGGGGGGTTAAGGCACTTGTACAACACGAGGGCTCTGATCACTCCAGATTCACCGCGCTACCTCTAAGCCATTTTGACTCGGCCTGCAAGTCATATGTTATGTCATATTTCTCCTTAATGATTGGATGATCATGATGCAACTGCTTATCATACATGTAGGATGCACTTACAATTTCAGGTGTGAGCACACATGCAGGATGCACCAGGCAATCACACGTGTGATCATGCATGTATGGTATGTCCCACATGCCTGATGTAAATGCATGATAAGCATGGTGCTTATTGGGTCTCTGGTGCAAACGGTCAGAACTGAGGGCATCATGTTTGTTTTCCATAAATAGTCCCTAATGTTTGGTTAAACTCTGTTATTTCCATGAATATTCCTGCCAGCCAACTCAAGTGCAGAAAGGGTGTACCAGGATGTTTCCTACCCTCTTTCCCCTGCTCTGTCATGCCATCTCTTCTGCAGACGGTGCCTGGTACTCTGATTAGCCCTGGACAGATCCACGGAGCTTCTCCTGCCTTGGAAGGACTCTAGATGACCTCTGGATGTCCCTTCTCTATGATACTATCCTTGCCTGGAGGCGATTTGCTCTTCAATAGGGATCTCTTCTTACAAATTTGTTTTACAAATGCTCCACCACTGCTATGGTTTTCAAGTTCCCAAGTGTCCAGTTATTGCATTTCCCCCTCTATTGCCTATTTTCTGTGCCAAAGTCCCTATGGACATTTGGAGAAACTGGTTTTGAAGTGATGCTGTTTGCCACTGAGTCCTTGCTCCAGCTCAGGGTATCAGAGGCTGTGTCTACATGAGCCGTTTAATGTGCAGTAGCCTAATAACACTGTGTAGTAGCAAGTCACAGCATGGACAGTGCTAATATGCTACTGCTCAGTATTATTATGCTACTATGCTGTAGCGTCACTAAGAAGATGTTCTTTGGCGTGACTCTAGTTACTGCACATTTAAGCAAGTACTAAAGTAAATGCACAGTAACTACTGCAAAAATGCAGATCTCTTGGCTCAGAGATGATACTTTTTATTCAGCCAACAGAAGTTGCAAAAAAAAACGGTCTTTTTCAGAAAGATCTTGGGCTCTCTCACTCTTCATCAGATACTTTTTTTTGCAATTTCTCATTTGATCTAATAAAAGGTATCATCTCTGAACCTCTACAGTTTTGCATTTTTGTGTCTGAGACCAACACGGCTGCCAAATACACCCCAGTAACTACTGCACATTAAATGAACATGTAGATGTGGTCAGAAGGTAGTTCTGCTAATTTCTGCCCTCCCTAAAAAGTAAAAATGCAGCCCCCCAGAGCATGACATTCATCTTTTGGGCTCCAGACTCACGCTCGAGAACTCAGGAGTACACAGAGCCTGTGACAGACAACCACGGCAGACCAGCCCCTGAAAAGCTGAACCTGTCCTCAGAAAGCTGAAAGCCTCGGGAGCCTTTTCATCGCTATTAATTATGTATGGTATGTGTTGGCTGAGGAAGCAGCCTGCTCCTTGCCAGCACCATCCCCTTGGCCCTTGCACAGAGGCTGAGAAAGCAGACAAGAGATTCAGAGACTGTTGTCTCAGTCAACACAAGAGAGAGAGAGACCTTGCATGAGGGCGAGAGGGAAATGGGGAATATTTTCCATCTATATCCATCTATCTACAGTATCTCTGCGGGACCCTCATGGGAGTGCTTCACAATCTTAAATGCGCACACATGCACACACACACACACACACACACACACACACACACACACACACACACACACACACACACACACACACACACACACACACACACACACACACACACACACACACACACACACACACACACACACACACACACACACACACGCACACATGCACAGCCTCATGACAACCGTGCAAGGCAGGTAGGTGATATTATCCCCACTTGGCCCTTTGCATATGCTTCATCTCTGAGCAGGTGCGGAGTCCAGCGTACCTCGCTGAGCATAAGAGCCATCAGAAATGCTAGCAGGCCAGGGGCCCAATGAAATAGTTTCCTTTGAAACACAATTAATAGATAAAGCACAGTACTGAATACGTGCTGCTTCTCTAAAAGCTTCCACGTTGCAGACCGTTAACATCTTAAACTCTCTCATTGTACCATAGCCATTGAATGCAACGGCACAAGGTCAGCACCAGGCTGGAGCAGGATAATTATGCGGCCATTTTTGTCTTGCAAATTATAGTGTTATCTTGGGACTGGAAAAAGAAATGGCAGTTCATGTTTGATTAATTGGTAGTTTAACATTTAATTATTAGGGGGCTGATGCTACCTTCTGAGACGAAAAGCTGCAGGAGGGGGAAAACTACCATTAAAAATGGGTGAGGCGTACGTCCCGTGGGAGGGAACCTGTATGTTCCCTACACCTGGGGCACTTGGTAATACTGTGACAGCCAAAAGTCTTTGGGGCACGTTTGGCCTCTCAGAGCCCAGGAAATACTTAGCGATGGCCACCCCCAAGTCTCATCCTTGGACACAAGAGCCTTCTTCACCCAGCCCGTGCTTACCACTAAGTTACAGGACAGCTCATATAGCTACAGGTTACTGGAAGGATCAGGGGGATCCCACATGCTGCCATTTGCACGTGTCTGCTGCCAGGGCCTCTGCTAATGGGACATGCAACACTTTAATCACAGTCCACAAATTCAACGGACGTTCAGGCTAGTGGAGAATGAGAGATTAGCACCAGCTGACAGCTGCTCGGTGGCCTCGATGAAATGCGTTGGGAGGTTGGGGTCCGGGAACCAGGCGCCTGTGACACAAATACTGCTCTCATAATTGGCCTTCTCGCCGGCAGCTTGGCAAAGAGCGAATCGGTCTGGAGAGGAAACGACCGTCATGTCCTGGAGAGCCTCTCCCCAGATCAGGGCTGACATATGCACACCAGAGCAGCGCGGGGAAGCCTGTGCTTCGGCTTTTCCCCTTGCAGCGCAGGATAAAGGGCTGCAGTTTTTATGACTTTTAATCTAACCCTCTACATTGGCGTGAAGTTTGGCAATCAGAAACCCTCAGGCCACCATCCCACAAAGAAGATGTGAAATGAGCAGCGCCCAACTCACCAAGTTCGCCAGGATGTAGTGGTAGCCATTCCCATTTTTTTCAAGCTTGATGATCTGCAATGCCAAAAACAAAATGTTTTATTTGGGGCCTGGTGGAAGGACAGGTGCAGGGAGCACAACCCAGCTGTCTCCTCCCCCATGCAATTCATTTTCCCTGGCTAGTTCAAGGAGATAGTTTGCCTGGAGAGTAAAAAAGACTGGGGAAAAAAAACCAGCTAGAGAAAAAAAGTTAAGCAAAACCTCTTTAACCCGCTGTATCCCACAGGCAGGGAGACCACAAAGTATTCAAGTCAAAATACATCCTGTGGGTTTTGGAGGAGAATGGGTACCTTTCATCTATGGGGCCAGATGTATTTTGGTTGCCTCCAAAAAGGAAGGATCACCAGAGGAAGCCCGTTATCTGAAGAATGAAATGAAATCACCGAGCACGACTTCAAATATATTCTCAGGTTATACAATTCAAAGCACCCACACTTTCATGTCACGGTAAATGCAGAAAAGCTCAGACTGACATTACCTTAGGCCACTTTTTTTAGCACTCTTGGGCAGTGTCTCTCAACCAGTGGGACTCGAAGGACTTTTCCCACCTTAAAAAGTGTCCTTAAAAATGTCCACTAATGATTAATACAATACTAAAATGCATGTGGATGTAAAAAACACACTTCTTGGAAAAAGTGGGGTTTTGTTTTTATCATGGTGGGACTGGGGTTTTTTTTGGGATGCAAGGTGCAAAAGGTTGAGGACCGCTGCTCGAGGGTGGGTATATCTTCCAACCCCACGGCAAAGCCGCCCTACATCAGTGCTGCTCAGTGGACGCTTCCCCTAAGATATGGATTGCAGCTGTATTTCTATATTCACGGTGCCCCTAGAGACATGGTCTCTCTTCTTTGATCCTTGGGTCTGAGTGCTTCTTTATTGGTATCATTGCTTAAAGGCCCGTAATTTTTCAGGTTTCCTTTATCAGTCAAAATATTTCCATTGTCCTCGCGGAAGCAAACGAACCTTGTTGGGAGTCCAGCTGTACCGTTTCAATCCCAGCACTTCTGCTTACCCCATGTTTCCATTAAAATCTCTTTCCACTCATTTCCATCAGTGGATTCAAATTCCTACTATGTTGCTAAAGCCAGGTATTACCCAGACTGGAGCCAAACCAGGTAAAGGAGAAAAAAAATCCTGCGAGTAAAAATTCAGGCACTTTGCCCATCATTGAGGGGAACACGCTATTTGCATTCAGCTTTTTAGCAGGCTAGACCACACCTTATCTCTGCAGTGCTGCAAACAGATTTTGAATTGCCAGCAGACCTGTCAAAGCCCAAGTGACATCTGCAAGACGGCGAAGGAAAGCCAGAAAGATCCCAGCCATTATCATCATTACCAAATGGGTTTCTAATTATCAGACACTTGTTCCTGAACAACTGATTCATCTGCTTTACCTTTGCCCAGCTCAAGTGCTCAAGTGTTTATATTAAAGCCCTTCTGACTCCCTGCGCTAAAATCCGTGCCTCAATTAGCTCCTCTGCAGAATACATCTGTTAGCGCTTTTTGATACAAGTAAGTTTGGCGCCAAGACCTTTTCATGCCTCGCCGTTCTCCTGGGGGGGGTCATTAGGTATGACTGATGCAGGTAAAGCTGGAACGTCTCCAGGTCGGAGTGGTGCCTTGTGGAAAACTCGGCTCTGCAGCTTGCACTGCATGCTGATTGACGGAGGGCTTCTGGCTGGAGCTCTTCCAGGGATACATTTGGGGAACAATGGGTACACCTCTCTGCCTCTTCCCACATCATCACTTGAGACCCCACCTATTCATCAAGCCCCCAGATGTACCGAGAAAACTCGGGATGACCACTATCTCTGATCCTCTACCACGCGGGAACAGATGTCACCAGTTCCTTGCACCCAAACTGCCTCTTGGCTACTTTATCGGGCGTCAGCGCCAGACAAATGAAGACCGTCTTCCCCTGAATGATGACTCCTGCTACTGTTTTTTTTTGCTATCTTAATTTATTTCAAAATCCTCACTCCATTCTAATGCTTTTGGATGGAGGTGGCAAGCTGAGGGTATAATCACATTTATCACTTCATCTGAACATGGGAAGAGGCAGTGCTGGGCTGCATGCTGATACCTCGCTTGGACTAGGCAGGTTTCATTACCCACTTCCTAATGGGCAGAGTTTGACATCTGTTAGCAAGAAGTCCTCTCCGAGAGCAAAGCAGCAGAGAAGGGAAGTTTCCCGTTATTCATTTTAATGAGTGACAGGGAAGAAACAATACAGTGCTTTGATGGGATGCCACCTACCACTTATTTATTTCATTAAGACAACGCAGTATGGCTCAGTGGATATTTTGCCACCAGCCAGCGGGGCTAGCTCATAAAAGATAGCTGCCTCCGCAGAGGGAAATGATGCCCCTATGACGGGGGGCGAAAGAAAAGTCCAAAACAGGAAGCAGGTTGGTTTCCCGCATCCCTTTAACCCTTGGATGAAGATGAATTTTGGAAGCGAGGTCAGATGAACTCAGGCATAGCAACTTGAAAGTCGGGCGCAATTACTTGCGCTCCGCGTCTGAGAAGAAGTGAGGAAGATGGCAAGCATCTGCATGTATGCCCGAGTGACTAATGTCCTATGGCTGTCTTCGGCTTTTCTATTCCACGGGGAGCAAAAATTCACAGCCACCAAGTGACAGTGACAGGCTTGTCAGCAAAGAAGAATGTGCTGAAACGTCCCCAAGAAGCCAAAGCGCATCTCTGAACATGTCACGTAGATAAAAAGAAGCAGACGGGAGCACAAGGGCCGATATCTGTCCGTCGGCCTGCATGGTGCAGCGAGCCAACCCTTTCCAGCTGCTGACCCGGGTCCACGTGGGGGTTCGTTTAGTGCTACCCGAGCCCCTGCGGATGCTTGCTTACCACGGACCAAGTGCATGGTTAGTGCATCTTTAGCCCGGGGCATTTCAGGTCCGGATTCAAATGCGCTGGCAGAGCTTTCTGGGGGCATTTGATTAATCAGGTGGCAGGTTTAAAAGGCAAAGGAAATGCTTGCTTACACGTGGAAGTCACTGCTGCAAGGATTGCCAGGAATATAACCACGTTCGGAAAGGGGTTAGAGAAATCTCTATGGAGGATTGGCTGGGATGATGCAGTTGGGGCTGGTCCTGCTTGGAGCAAAGGGCTGGACTCAATGTGACCTCCTGAGGTCCCTTCACACCCTCATTTTCTGTGCGTCTATAGGGAGACCATTGACAGAGACTGGATACTGGGTGACTCTGGGCCCACCACGGACTGGCACCTCGTCTCCTTATCGTCTCAGGATTAGGACAGCTGAAGTGCTGCTGGGAAGGATGGCATTTTTTCCTGTATAAAAGAGCGGCGATACCCAGAAACACAGCTGCCTTATCAGATAAAAGGGATCTGCGCCCGTCGTCCGGCTTCTAGGCATTCAGCTCCCCTATAACCACTTAACTGTGCGGGGCAATTTCCAAAAGCATGCACAGCAGGCTGGCAGGTGAGCACTTGAAAATCTCACCTAGGGACTTCATCTCACCAAGCACAGCTTTTGTTTCTATTGGCATTGTTACAAAAGGTACCGTTTCTGAAACTCCTGCTAGCAGTGGGCATTTTGGTTGAAAATGAAATCATACGGCTGCTGAGAGCATCTTGTCTAGGGCTGGGAAGCAGGATGAGAGGAAGCTGGGCCGGGGGAGAAGAGAAACTCTCCATTGAGAAGTCAAGCAGGTTTCCGTGGGGTGACTGTGCCTACCAAAAATCCCTTTTCTCGTGGCATTTCATAAAATTGGGAGCAAAGCCTAAAAACAAATGAAAGTTAAAACTTTCACAAGTCTCAGCATGAAAAATATCCTGAGCCCTCCTGAAAGTGTGGATTGAGGAATACATATTTTCAAAACCCTTGAAGACTCTTGCTATAATGCAGGATCATGTGGAAGTAAGTTAGCATTATGTATTTTTTCCCCCACTTACGAGCCATTTTTTTTAAAAAGGTAAACACCTTGATATTTCCAAGTGGTTGCAAAATCAAAAGGATTTTGCTCCTTCCCTTCAGCAAGCTATAAAACATTTAAATAGAAAGGCTTTTTATCTATTAGCTAAAACCGTTTTTAGAAGAGAAGACAAAGTGTTTTTCCTGCATCAATGGTAAAAAAAAAAAAAAAAATGGCCAGACCAGTCCATCACTATGGCTCAAAAATCAGATACATGCTTTGAAAAAGGAACTCTGCGAGGAGGGAAAAATGCTACAAGATCATCTGAAGTGCGTGTCAAATATAAAACCCCAGGTTTCCAATGTGCTGCATCCCATAAAGCTCAAGCCAGATGCCATTGGCCAGGGCATGTGAAGCAGCATTTCATTTTCTGGCTACTCAGTGGTTAAAAAAAAGATTTTGCTTGCCAGAACAGTTAACCTGGCCCCTTTCATAAGCCCTGACCTCATTTAGGGTCAGCTCTTGATCTCTTCTCTATTATTTTTATTGTAGTAGCCCCTAGAGACATCAGACAAGGATTGATTATGCTAGTCACTGTGCATACATCTAATGGAAAAGATGACTCTTGCCCTAGACAGCTCACAATCCAAGTATGAGACAAGACGTGGCAGGTGGCTTCAAATAAACATATGTGAGAAGCACAAGATAGCAGCAAGACCATTATACAGAGCCTGATAAGCAGCAGTCACAGCACGCCAGCTGCCGTGGCACTGGCGGGGGCTTTGTATGGGACGTGGAAAGGTGAGTCCCACAGGTGTGGGGTCCCTGAGTGGTAGCTCTGGAGGAAGCTTCGCTGCTGGCTCTCTGCTGTGAGAGGGTGAGCGCCCGAACTGGGGCACGGGGGGCAATGGGGTTCATGGCACGGACCCATTGAAAAAAAATGGGGAGCAGAGAGTACGAAAAAGTAACTCTTCTGTGCACAGAGCTCTTAGGAGCTGGTTGCAGGCAAGCTCGCTGGGGTGCGGAGGACAGCCTGCGTAACGGGCTCTGTACAAAGCAGCCAGGCAATTAACCCAAAGAATAAAAATACTGCAGAACAAGTGCAGTGTGAAGGTGCAAACCCAGAGGGAGCTCCTAGCCCTCCCCTAGCTCAACCGTTTCTTCCATCCCATAAAGGCGAGATGCCTCCGACACACTGACCCCGCAGAAGAGGCCTCCTAACAATGCACCTCGGATAAAAGGAGCGAGAAGAGGACTTATCCCAGAGACACAGAGGACCCATAGTGCGTGCAAGCCCCCTCCCCAAGCAGCCGCTGTCAGCACCACCTTGCCCAGTATGGCATTCAGCCGCTCGGATTCGCAGTCCACCACCACCAGCCTTTCCTTCTTCTTCTCCAGCTCCTGGAAGAGCATCCTGTAGCCTTCCTCTGTCGTCGTCAGGATGTTGACGGCTGTCACCTGCCAGTTCTTCTCCGCCGCGGTATCCAGCACTCTCTGGAGGACTGACAAGCCTGTGATGGGAAGAGACAGGGAAGAGGGGAGCAGGGTGAGAGCCTTGGATTAGTTCATGCGTCAGCCTTTCCCCCCCACCCCTTTCTGGGCAAGTGAAACAGCAAAACCCTACTAATGTTTTAAGCCTCCAGCATTTCATCTAAATCCACCTCGACTGTAAGTAGTAACTTCTGCTCTTACTCCCTTACCATTGTGAAACAACAGGATTCCCCCTCTCCTGCTCTGTAACTACCCACCCATCAAGTGCAGCAGTGCAATAAATGAGGCAATGAACTGGGCTGTGTGCTGTGTGGTTGTCCCGTTGCCTGGCCTTGGCCTTGTTGCTCAGTGTTACCATTTCCTCTTACACCCTTAGTCTATTCAAGCCATGAGCTCCTGTGTTCAGAGAGCCCCTCTCTCTTTCTCTCTCAACAACGGCAATCAATACAGGAGTGAATGCATTGCATCTCTCTGCTGCCTATTGCTTGGAGACTTCAGAAATCTTCATTCTTTGATTTGTGGGGTCACTCAAGCATTGTGTGCCTTGCCCTGCACTTGGAGATGTGTATATACAGCATCACGGGAGGATACAATGGGAATGCATCAGCTGCCATGAGTCCTACAGGGAAGTCCAGCAGGACTCCCTCCCACCCCGGCTGCCACGAAACGGGCAGGGGCATCTTTGCTTTAGGGCATGCTGTGAAAAGCCCTTGCTTGTGCTTCTTTGCATGGTCCCATGTCTGCATTGCAGCCCTCCTGTGGTTTTTCTTGCTGGTTGATGGGGACATGGAGGCTTGGAAAACCCCATGCTACAATCCACAGAGCACTCCTCCCAAAGATTAGACGATAATGTCTGTCCACCCAAAGAAAAAGAGTAAATTCAATAACGAGACAATTAGTCTGCAGAATCTCACTCAGTCGGCGATGTGGTCTGCTTTAACACCAAGACTTTTCAGAACTGACCAATCACACAAGCACTGTGCCTGGGTGTGCAACCATTGTGCCCCGCACACCTAATGTGCACATGTTCGCCCACGTGAGATTCACACGGGCAGGATCTCTGAAAATTAGGCTCTGTGCACTGATTGAATTGCATCTCAGCCATTTCCCTGTTTGACGCCTGAATGTCTTGGACTTGGAATATTTCCCCTGCATTGCTGCTGTTCATTCCTGCTGAGGGGAACGGCACCATGTGCTCCTCCTAACCTGCCTGGTAGGCACACGACTCACCCCGGTCGGCATCGTAAATGTAGACGAATTTCTGCCAGCTGTAGTGCTCGATGACACTGATGAGGGCCTCCTGGAGCTCCGGGCGTAGTTGGAGAACAAACTGGTTGGACGTGTCGACAGGGAAGCTGGGTGTGATGAAGCAGACATGGAGGGCCCCGCAGAAGGACGTGAGCATGTTGACGGTCCTCCTCTCGTAAAACCCAAAGATGGCATAAACGCCCTTGGAAAACTGTGAACAGACTGGAGGGGAGAGAAGGAGATGGTCAGAGGAGCCTCGGAGAGACAAGATTTGGTCTTTCAGCACGTAACCATCCTACCCTCCATTAAATAAGGGAGCTAGGAAGTCACAGAGGGCCTGCCCTTCCATGCTGTGCCCCTGCTCTCTAGCTGTGAACTTGCCTTGGCTTAGCGTGCAAGCAAACGAGAGCTTGTCGCTCTCTTGTGGACGCTTCTTCTGCCGGGATGCTATCTGTTGCTGTGAACAATGAAAAAAAACAAAACAAAAAAAAAAAAACACAAGTGTTTTAAAACCCAGTCCTGCTCAATCCCACGGGCTCAGAGGGCATGGAGCGACAGCTGCTCGCTGTTCAAGTCCCTGCCAGACGGGCGCAGAGCGGCAGAGGTGTCAGCCTGTGTGGAAGTTGCCTCCTCCTCAACCGCCCACCCATGCCAGGGGAGGAAAAAATACCGGCGCTGCTCTCTGAAGAAGAGCACAAGGGTTGCATCTCTCACCATAAAGGCTGCTCTCACACACACTGGGGGACCGATGGCGGCACGATGGCTTGGGATGGTACGTGTGTAAGGGAGTGAATCTGATGGATCAGGGCTGTCTGACCTTTTCCAGCCTGAGGGATGAATGTAGCATTTCTTAAAATGCCACAGACCTACAAAACAATGGTATGGGGCAGGTTCTCTGCCTGGCTCTGGCCCCTTCTTCCCCGCTCAGCTTCTGAGTCAGTGAAGGAAGCAGCGAACTGCAGTTCTGCAGGCTGAATCCTCCCACATCCTCCCCATAGCAACCAGCCTGATTCCAGCACGTCCCTTTTAAACCCACCCATTTTCAATCCAGAATCAAAATACACCTATTTCCCTTCACCTCCTGGCACAGCCACCCCCCAGGACTGCCCATCAGAGCTTCGCAGGCCAGAGGTGGCTGACAGCACTGAAGGAAGCACTGACCTCTTGGCCACCAGCTAGCTGGGAACCCAAGATCTGGATGTCCACAGTCACACTGAGCTAATGGGAGCTCTGCTAGGACCTGAAGAGAGTGAGGGTGATTGCTGCTATAGGATCAGCCACTATAGCAGCAGCTCCCTGCACCCACAACTACTATTACCCTTTTGCCAAGCACAGTCCTGGGCTGGGAAGCATGTTCCCTGCCACCCTCAAGACCTGCTTTCAGCCGGGGAGATGGGGAAACATTGCTCTGCTCAGAGCTGCCCCAACATAGCCCACTGCATCTTTTCCACGTTACCCCTCTATAAACCCCTTATCACCAAAGGGCGCTTGTACATGGTGCGTGTTGTTTAGATACATGTCATGAAACGGCGAGACATCATGAGATATTCTTGGGAGGAACCATGGGCTCTACCTTTGGATCCTCCACAAGAAGCCAACTGGCACTGATGGGCACAGTGTCACAAGGGCAGGATTCAGCCTATTAACGTTGTTTTAAGGCATTGCGGACAGACCCAAATTCAACATCTGATTTGCATGTTCTGAACAGTCAGTTACCCCATTACCTTCTTGCTTCCTAGCTAGGGGTGGCAAGGGAGGGTGTGAAGGAGGGCTGTGGCCTGGCACTGTGGTGTAGCTGGGTACTCAGGGCCAACGCCAGGCAATCAGGACGCTCGTTGTTTCTGATCTCGGCAGCTGCTGGTGCTGCTGTGCAGCAAGGTCCCTGTCTCAGGTCTGCGGGCTCCTTGGGAGAGCACTTAATGAGCTTGGGGGAGCTGCTGGAAAAATGCCTCGGGATTTCAGCAAGGCAGAGAGAGCAGCACACACTGTGGGTTGTACAATTCAGTCCCTGATCCAGTCAGAGTCATTTAATATCACTCCCGTTTATGACACATCCCGAGTTATTATCAATAAATCTCCAAGCCCGCGGCACTGATAGTGTCAGCATTTTCCCTGTGTCACCACTCCTGGCACTAGCATTTCCTTTCATTGTCACTCCATTCCTAAGGACTCTTGGCTGTGACATTTACACTGACTCAAGGCTCCAGGATCCCCCCCATGTGACATGAAGGATGAAAAGTTGGATGTGACATTTTGGGGTCCCCTAGCAAGCCCTTCTACACTACTTGGGAATCCCTTGATCTGCTCCTAAACTGGTAACAGCCCGCATGGCCTCTTCTGCAGACTCAGCAAGGAGCAGGCATCTCAGCACGAGCTTCCCCATGGCCTAGTGGGTCTTTATTCAAAGACTTGTTCCCTTCACTGCCTGAATTTCAAATGGGGACTGAAGGGGCAATCAAGTCACCCTCATATGGCCTGCCAGTTGTCAGACCAGATCAGACCGACTAGCTCAACACCCCTTCTCTGATAGGCGCTGGCAAATCGAGGCTCAGGGCTGAGGCCAGAACACATGTTGCCGCTATTACTGCTGGTGGGACCAGGCCCAGACGCAGCCAGAAACTGGAGCTTGGGGTTTGGCCCCGTGAACAGTTTAAGCCATGGTGCCACCAGCCTAAAGGAACATCTTAGACTCTGCAAAAGGGTTGCAACCCACACCATGGCTGCAAAGATGGACAGCAGATGACCCAGCAAGGACTGCGACTCACCCTTTAAGCTCATAGATTTCATAGACATTAGGGCTGGAAGGGACCTCGGAAGATCATTGAGTCCAGCAGCTGCCCAAAGGGCAGGAAGTCAGCAGGGGTCATAGGATCCCAGCAAGATAAGCATCCAATTTGCTCTTGAAGGTGTTCAACGTAGGTTATGAGGAGGCACATGACTTGTGAGAAGAGGCTGAGGGAAGTGGGCTTATATAGTCTGCAGAAGAGAAGACCGAGGTGGGATTTGATAGCAGCCTTCAGCTCCCTGCAGGGGGGCTGCAAAGAGGATGGAGCTGGGCTGGTCTCAGTGGGGGCAGATGACAGGACAAGGGGCAATGGGCTCACGTTGCAGCAAGGGAGGTTTAGGTTGGATATTAGGGGGAAAATAATTCACTATGAGGATGGTGAAGCACTGGAACAGGTTGCCCAGAGTGGTGGTGGAGTCTGCATCCTTGGAGGCTGTTAAGACCTGACTAGACAAAGCCTTGGCTGGGATGATGGAGTTGGGGCGGGTCCTGCTTGGAGCAGGGGTTGGACTAGATGTGACGCCCTGAGGTCCCTTCCACCCTCCTTTTCTATGAGTCTATGTTGCACTTAAGCAACAACGCTGCAAAGACTGGAAGGAATCACAGCTCCTGCCTCCCCAGAAGCTGATGGATGGAGCCAAGAGGTTTGGGTCTAGCATGAAGCAAGGAGTTCTCCATTCTTGGAGGGATTTGGCTTGAAATTTGAGAGCCATGCAAAGAACAGGAGTGCTCAAGGCACATGAGGAACCTGAGGCCAAGAGAGCATAAGGGCCACAATTTCAGAACTGAGCTCCTTTAACCGCTTGAACAAAAGGGCCAGATTTTCAGCAGACCCCGACATGCTGGCAGCTGAGCTGTTGCAAATGAGAGCAGAGCGCTTTTGAAAACCTGATTGCTTACGTATTGCCGAAAAACCACACCAGAAATCTGTAGCCCCCCTAGAAACTTGGACCTCGTCTTTCCCAAATCTAGTAACTCAAGTGTGAGAACACCCAGCCTTTTGCTGCAGTTCCCGGGAACGATGACATCCTACACACCTTTGCATTGATAAGAGCTGAAGAAGACAGTGTCCCCCAGTAAGGGACTGACACATTTTGACAGGAAAGTCATGGATGTGGGTGGAAATATGCTTCAAATCATTTCTGTGAGGCTGGATCGCAGGTTCTAATGAACGGAGGTATCCGCTTTCACATGCCGCGAAATCAGAATCGGATCCCCAGGGAAATGGCCGTCAGAATCGCTGCCTGATTGAAGTGACATTCTTGGTCTAGTGCAACAGATCATTTCCAATTAATAATCCAGGCAATGAGTGTAGCTATTTTTTTAAATTTTTTTTTTTTTAGCAGACCGTGATTTCACTGGATCTGATAATTACTCTTATTTTTTTTGGATTTTTTTCCTCCCCACTCTTATGGCTTGATCACGTACATTCAGCACTCCTACACTGTTCTGAGATACTCCAATTCCACCATTTGAAACAGATTGCACCTCAGAGGACTGAAAGAACTAACCGTCCTTATTGTTAGTAACTTTTGGAAAAGAAACTCGTTCACATTATGTTCCCAGGCTAATAGAAACCGCTGCTAGCACAGATGATTTGGGGACAAGATGGGCTGATGGGTATCCGTGTCGGAACGACACGAGAATTTCCGAGTCAATTAATTTGGAAAAGTTATCGATAACAGTTAAGAGCCTCAGTCACCTTTTCAGCAATAATCCTTCTTGGTTAACTAAACTGAGTGATACAAAGACAGCGACTGCAAAATTGTTCCAGTCCCAGAACCAGCATGGAATAATTAAAAGCAGAGAAAGAAGGTAAATACTTTGTTTACTGCAATAAGGGTATGGGACTTTTTTGTTTTTCAATGGCTTGCATTTCTTTTTACTGACACTAGGATACGGTTACGAATCCAGACAAGAGAAATGGGTATTTGCAAACCATCAAAAGCGCGTCTCGTCTTTTAAAATGCTCACCAACAAATATTAACAGCTGCACATGATTTTTGCTTCCTGAAAAAATTACAAACGGTGGCATTAAATCAGAATAAATGAGTCCAAGAAGATCCATTTGTCCGGTTAGATGGCTAGTGACAGTCCCAAACTTCACACGACTGCTGCTAACCAGTTGCTGAAGACTAGTATCTGCAGGGCTGGCACTTCTTCCGCAAATCAGCCTGGCATCAAAGCCAGCAGGTTGGTCTCTGACATACATCAAGTGTTTTCAATTATGGTTGGGGATGCAGAGCAGTTAATGGTACAGCTGGCTCCAAGGCCAACGTGGCTGATCGCTGTTCAATAACGATAGCAGCTAGCATGACTGTCACCCTCTCTAATGGTCTACATTAATGCAGGGTGAGATAACCTGCCATTGCTCCCGCATGCTATTTTCATTGCCTACATGGGACTTCTCCAAGCACTCTCATTTAACAAGTTGGCT